TCTGAAGGGCCCATCTGTCGTTATTTGGTTCGTTGGAGAGGTCGATCTGATGAAGATGCCACTTGGATTTCAGAAGATGAATTCCAACAACTTAATCCTGCCTTGCTAGAAGCCTATCAACTCTCTACCTCTTCGGAGGAGAGTTCTTTGTAGCAGGGGGAATTGATAGAAAATATGGCAAATATTACTTTAGGAGGAAATAATTTATTACCTCTTATTGCCTTTCATTAGTTTATTAGTTTTGTTGTTTTTCATTTAACTTTTGTAAGTTTCCTTCTTGTGAAGGAAACCAATAAGTAAGTGGATTCTTATTATTTTTCATTAGTTTATTAGCTTTTGTAAGTTTCCTTCTTGTGAAGGAAATTAGGCAGCAAGTGGATGTTTCCTTGTTAGGAAGGAAACCTCATGCTTATAAATAGTATGACTTGTATTCAGGAAGGGGATGAATGTTTGGAAGCATTATGATTTTCTGAAAGCTCCCTCTCTCTCTCTTTAGTTCTGCATCTCTCTTCTGTTCTCCCTCTCATATTTCAGTCACTTCTCTCTCTTTTCACCTTCTCTGTTCTCACTTCCCCTCCACCTCCCACTCTCTGTTTCTGTTCCTTCTCCCTTATCCTATTCTGTACAAATCAGTGTGAGCGTGAGTGTTTGTGTTTTACATCATTAATACCCGTATCACCATCCTTTCTGTTTTTAGCTCCTGATTTTCCTTCATTCCTATATCCTTCAATAGAACCTTCTTTATTGATACCCTTTTTAACACCATTCAAATCTCCTGATATCCCACTTGAAATATTCAAACTTACCATATCCTTCTTATTCAATCATTTGTAAAAATCCCACTTAACGAGATTGCATGTGCCAAATCCGATCTTTCCCGGTGATGAGTTCCCTACTATTAACTTTGTCGTTGACTTCTTAGGTTCTGGTTGCTTCTCTACTAGACTCAGATTGCTCATAATGGATGGCTCTGTATCATGATCCTTTATTGCCTCCCTTTCAGACTGAACAGAGCTTGCACTCACTTGCAACTGACACGCTTTTTCTAGGCATACACCCTCATGATTTCCGTACACCCTACAGTGAAAATAGACTCTATGTAAACCCTCATACTTAATGCTCCAAAAGCTTCAAACGAAGGTAGCAAAGGTTCAGCAAGGTTGACTTCTACAAATATCCGGGTAGATGTACCTTAATCATAAATGGATGTCAAAAAATCAATTTTAATAGTCTCCTCACCATATTCCTAATTCATCTTAGAGCTTTCATGTTGTAAAATTCCACAAGAAAATTCGATATTCATATCCAAACTACAATGTGACGCTATGAATCATCCTTCCTCAGATTAAAGTTTGGCCGCCACTTTTGAACCAGGAGATAATGATCATCAATCATCCACGGACCCTCCTGGAAAGCATAGTCTCAAACATCTTTTGATGTGAATGAAACTGTTATCTAAAATATTCTTCAAATATTTTATCATTATTGTATATATATCTCATTAAGAGATATTATTTGATATTATGTAATTATTAATCATTATTTGGTTATCTTTTTCTTGATGTATTAATTGTACCCTTAAGCTCAATAATAAATAAGATATTTCTCTATATTTCTCTTGCTTCTTTTATGGTATTAGAGCCATATTTTTTTTCTGCTCCTTCTTCCAGCACTGCATCTCCATCATCTGCTTGTTTCATCCTTAACACTATCCTTGGCTGCTCTTTTTTTTTTCATCTGCTCATTTAATCTATTTTGTCTTCTTCCTCATTGAAGTTTTAAAACTTCTCTCTCTGATTAAGCCAATCCATTTGGACTCTTTCTTATTTATTTATTTTTTTACCTCTTATTCTTTAATAGAAAAATATGAGATTACTCAACCTATTTTTGTTTTGTTGACTGATCCTAACTATCACTTATGGATGGAAAGTATGCGTGGTTTTTTGAAAGGCAAGAAACTTTGGCGATATATTACTGAAGATTTCTCATTTCCTGTTAGATCCTCTTTTAAAGATGACCAAAAATTTACTGATCGGCTGGATGATTGGGATAGTAAAAATAATCAAATCCTAATATGGTTTCAGAATACTTCTACTGTGAGTATTCATGTGGATATTGTTAGAGGGTGTTCGTTCAAGCAGCAATAGCTATAATCTGAGATGCCAAATGAAGATTGGAAGATTGGATCTCTCAATCAATTTAGTAGGTTCTATCTCTCTAATTCAATTTAAGTAAAGCTAATAGATCTTTTTGGGGTTTTGGGAAATTTTTTTATTTTATTTTGCTACTTGTGTGCCCAGAAGCCTAATAGTTGGGGCAACTGCTTTTGTTTTCATAGCAACAAATAAGATTTAAGCTTTAATACTCCATATTGTAAAGTTGATCAATGATAAGTATCTTGGGCAAAAGTTTTTTTTAAAGGTTGACTTCAACACCAATCCTTGCAAATTTTACCCTTTAAGTGTTACCAGACTCGTTCTTAGAATTAACTTTTGAGAAGGTGTTCACATCCACTTTTAGTGTCTTGCTTATACAATTTCCTATTCTCCATAGAATCTCCTTGTCATAGCATTGAATACGGATGTTGTTTAGCCTCACCCAAAGTGCAATCTTGCCAATGATATTTGTGATAGTATTGAAGTTTGGAGACTAACGTTGGAGTAAAATGCAATGGAAAAAATTGTGCATGGACCTCTATTGGGAATATTTTCACACAATACCTAATTTTTAGTTCTGACTATGTAATAACTATCAACCAAATCAATTATTTCAAAGTCTTTAATCTACCACATCTTAGTTGATTTGGGCTTAAGAGATTTAAAAGTTGTATACCCGAGGTGTTAATAACTAGGGCACTCATCCATGGTGAGCATATTTTTTTTCCATTCCTCATTTGAAATCAAGAAAGTAGGATATTGATTCATCAATTTCTTAGTAGAATCAAAGGGTGTCCATTCTTTCTCTAATTCCTTAGCTATAGTATCATTAATGTGCCAAGTGTCACTCCCTTCATTAATCCAATAGCATCCATTGTAGCTAATAAGAGATTCTTTGTAAAAAAAAGGGAGCTACGAATGCTTTGATTCCTCAAATTATATGAACTTTGCTTGGATTTCTTTCTTTATCCTTAGTTCCCTTTGATTATATATCTATAGGTTGAACTTCAATAGTGCTTGTAGTTTTGATTGAGGTTAGGTGATTCTCTATTATTAGTGGTTGAAGAATATAGAGATGTTAAATTTTATTTATCATTTCTTTCTTTAGTATTGAGGCATTATTTCTATTGAGCAAGTCAACTTCCTCTTTGGAAGCATATAGGCCCATAATTGCATCTTGAATTATTGAGGCAAAAAAGACAAAGTTTAGATCAAGGGCAGACTTGGAATTCATTAAAAAAAAAGAGAAGGTAGACTTATCAAAGGAGAAGGCTAGAAAGAAGATAAACCTTCTCTTCAAGAATCTAAAGGGAAGGCATAGAATCTCACTCAAGACGATGACTATTTTCGTTAAAGCTATCAAACTGAGTTGAATGCAATGTGTCGAGCCATTAGCTTGTTTAACCAACCAACTTAAGCTATATTTAGATAACATTCAAACTGAAACTTTCATTGAATTTTTTTAATTAAATATTATCATTTAATAAAAAAAATTGAACATTGGACAACTGTTCACTTACCTTTTATGAAAAGCAATTTAGTGCAATTTCATTCATGGAATGCCATTGTATAAATAATACCTCAACAAAAAGCTATCATGCATAGCATGGTTTATTATTTGGTGGAATTAAATAATAATATATGTTAATGTATTATATTAAGTATCAACTAATCTAATGATAATTAATATTATTATCAAAGGTAACTTGGTTCATTATTATTGCATATATTCATTCTTATTGTATTTAACAAAATGTAGCAATTAAAAAGTTTTAATACGCACAACTTGCACTCTTTGAAACTTACCTTGTACATTTTCTTTCAAGTTTCGTTAGACAAAATTGTGATTTTATGATTTATAAGAAAAGCAAATGGCCAATACTATTATTAAAATTCAATCCCATATTATCAAACAATGCCTTGAGGAAAGAAAATTCCGCAAGAAAAAATTTGAAGTTTTATGGCACAAGAAACAAGCACTTAATATAGCTTAAAGACATGACAGAATTTATGTCAACCTAAGCAAATGTAGAGTTCTCCATTAAGATTAGTGACACAATTTGCACTTTAAAACTTGTCTTTAAAAACATTCTTACAATCAAAGACACATTGAGAAATCGTGCAAGGGTCGATAAGGATGGCAAGTGCACACTCCTTATAATATAGTCCCAATATGAGCATGCCCGTTGCCACCACAATCAACATTATCATCACTTTCTTCATCACTATTACTTCTATTGCAATCCCTCTATTGATCTAACCAGGCATGAAATGCTCCATGTCTTTTTTATTTACTTGTAGATGAGGATAATGAGGATCCTTTTGGAATATCTTTAAGGATATTATGTAAAGAATAAGGAAAAATATTATGTAGATAATCTCGATAGAGATATCGTCATTCATAATATGTCTAATAATACTTTGAATGTTAATTCCTTCATATGAATATTCCTCAATCCCCACAATGACATTTTTACCTTATCTTAAATGTCAATTTATGATTAGTTTTTCAACCATATGTTAAATACCTTTAATTTGAAGGACACCTTTAAAGCATTTACTATTATTGATTGAAAGCTTTGTAACTTAAGAGATTCATTTCACCTGCTTTCGATATGTACACAATCATCTTTTTTCATAGAAATTACTTTTTATAGGATATGGATTGAGGAAACCAAATATCATAAGAAAACATTTGACAATTTTATTGCTAAGGAAATAAGCACTTAATACAACTTAAAGACATTAGAGAATTAAGGTCAACCTAAGCAAATGCAAAGTTTTCCATTAGGATTAATGACACAGCTTGCACTTTGAAACTTATCTTTCAAAACATTCTTGCAGGCAGAGACACATTGAGAAAGCGTGCAAGGCTTGAGAGGGATGGCAATTGCACACTCCCCATAATATGGTCCCAGCATGAGCACGCCTGTCGCCACCACAAGCAACATTATGAACACTTTCTTCATCATTATTACTTCCATTGCAATCCCTCTATTGATCCAACCACGTATGAAATGCTCTATGTCTTCTTTATTTATTTATATATAGGGATAATGAGGATCCTTTGATATATCTTTAAGGATATGTATAAAAAGAATAAGGAAAAATATTATGTAGATAATCTCAACGAAGATATCGTGATTCATAAGATGTCCAATAATACTTTGAATGTTAATTCCTTTATATGAATATTCCCTATTCCCCACAATTACATTTTATCTTATCATAAATTAATATCAATTTATTGTTAGTTTTCCTATTGTATCTTAAATACCTTTAATTTAAAAGACGCCTTTAAAGCATTTATTATTGTTGATCGGAAGTTTTGTAACTTAAGATATTCATTTGACCTACTTTTGATATGTACTCAATCATCTTTTCATGGAAATTACTTTTTATAAGATTTTTATCCTTATAGTAACAGCTAATTTTGCTAAAAAAATTATGTGGCAATGACATATATGAGCCATAATTTTTCAATTATATATCTATTGATTTTGACAGATAGAGAAAGCTTTGAAAACAACTTCCTATTGTAAAATTAAAAATAAGTAAGTTTCTTTAACTATTGTGTTATACTTTTTAAACATATAATGCTATATCACTATTTTTGGCTAAAGTTATCAAATCAAATTGAACCTAATGTACCGAGCCATTAGTTTGTTTAACCAGCTAACTTAGGCTATATTTGGATAACATTCAAACTAAAATTTTCGTTACAACTTTTTTATACTAAATATTATCATTTCATTAAAAAATAGTTAAAGTTCATTTTTACCCTTGAACTATACCCTTAAGAGCATCCAATATCCTATATTCTACTTTGGTCTAATCAGCCCCTTAAACTTTCAAAAAGGGATAATCTATTGTCCTATAATTAAAATGATTCAGATGGATGTTAAGTATGGCAAGTGAGGCCTAAAAGTTTGCACAGTTAACAATCATGTGTGTAACATCCTAAATTTCTAATGCAAAAAATTATGAACTAATAAAGGATAATTAATGAACTATAATTTTAATTATGTTATGTTTTGGGATTTGTTAATGGACTTATTGAGATGTTTGGATAGCTTTGGAAGGGAGCAAGTGTTGGATAGGGAGGCATAATGGAAGATTAAAAATTTTAAATCTCTATCTTGATATGGACCAAACGAACACATTTAAGTTAAAATGGATAGAAAAGTTACTTTTTATTTTTTCAAACTTCATAGCATTCTCTTCAAGAATGAAGATCTTAGGCACTGATAATATAAATATGCTCTCTCTACCGATAACCACACGAATAGCTTCCCAACATGAACAGCATGCTCGCACTCTCCTTATCTAATCTCTATCCGTCTGTCAATTTAGATGTCCTTTTGTTTTCTAGGAAATTTTCATGGCTCTTAGAGGTTTTTGCTATCAGGAGACTTTTTCAATATTTCTTATTTGTTGCAGTCCTCTTCTCTATATAATATATAGATTATGATTTTTGCCTACTACTTAAAGAGCCAATGGAAAAATTAGATTAAATTTATCTCATAAATAAAATATATAATATCATGTCTAGTTCAAATTTATCTCATAAATTTAAATTATATAACTAATATGATATTCTCTCACATCATGTTAGTTATTAAATTTAATCTATCATATAAAATTAAATTTAAAACTAACACAATATAATATAATATATCAGATATACATATTATATTATATATATGTACACATGAAAATACACGTGTGTGTGTGTGTATTTTGAATTTTACATTTTATATAAATATATATACATATAAATATTTATCAAATATAGTCAAATACATACATACATACATATATATATTTCATTCACCCTAGAAAAGCATTATATTTATTAAATCTAGATATACTCCAGATTTAATGAATTTGGACATTATAGCTCAGGTTGGGCTGTTCTTGTGCGCGACCCCATAAGCCCATATGAAGTTGGAAGTAGACTAATTATGCTTTTAGCCCATAAGTCATGAGGGGCTTTTAACAAGATATTGTCACTACTTAATTCATATGGGGATTGATAATTCAATGTAACCTATCATATAGCCTTATTACATCCCTTTTGTCACCTGATATTTTGATCAAGTGTGAGATATGGAATTGTCATTCTCCTTTACTTGACCATTACTTTTTTGATTTTTGAATGGATTGATATAACAATGAAAAAATCCTTTCCATTATAGTATAGCCATACATTTTCTCAGTCTTACTCATCAAGGGGCTTAGTAATATCTCTCAATTAACATGAGAGTCACACGAATATCACTAAACTCAATCATAACCTTTATGATCACTTAATCAAAGGTGACTTTTGACTAAATCAATGTTCAGTGGTTATTATGTAGGAATCCATGATGATCTTATATCAAAGGGCTTAGGGATATGATTACATATAAGATAAGCTTATGACTTGTACTATACAACTCGCTCAGAGCAGGTTGGTCTAACACCTTGTACTCTTTTAAGTGCCCACAACTTTGATTTATATCTCTATAATTAATTAAAGTCATGCTAGTCTTATTTCATATAAGATCCCTTATAAATGACCTACTAAGGACATTTAGGACAATTACTATAGTTTCTCCAAGGATATAGTTATTATAGTAAGCACGCAATTGATAAGATAATAAAAGAAACATTCATGAAATAATAATGTGCATAGTACAATGATTGGCTCTAGGGCACAATTTCCAATAGCAACGATGGTAATTGGGTCAACTAGGACTAATTGGTGGCTTAAGATTTCATATGGCTCAACTGAGTCATTTGTCAAGGCCAATGGTTCAGTGCGCTGCAACAAAAGGTGTCAAATTTAATTAAATATCATGAATTAAATGTTGAAGGTAAAGAGAAAAGAGGAGAAAGGTGGCAGGATGTGAAGGAAAAGGATTTTCTCTACCAAGTCTTCAAATTTTGAGCATTTAGGAGTTGATTCTGACTTATCATATTTTGGGTAAGCTTTATATCTTCTTTCTCTTCTTATGTATCCAATTTTCTCTTGGTTTGAGATGTAAGAAAATTGAATTCTGAGTTTAATAAAGGGTTTTTACTTGGCCCTAATGACTTTTATAGGGTTGTTAGGGGTTAAGTTGAGTCCTTGCACTTAATATTGGTTTTTATTGATTAAGCTTTGGGTTTTGGTTAAATACTAGCCTTAAATGAAAGGTTTGAAGTTGTGAGAACCCTACATTGGCAATAGTTGGTTTAATAAAGTTGTATGAAGCTTGGGAGGTTAATTAGGGCTTAGAATTATTCAACAATAGAAGTTACAACTTTATGTTAGCTTAATTGTGCTATTAAGTGTCTATGTTAAATGGAAAAATTGACATATAGTACTTAATCTTGTAGATTGGTGTGGCTCAAATGTGTTTTGAGCAATTGAAAGTATGAAGAGCATTAATTTTCATGGGTAACCTTTTTGGTAATGTGAGGGTTAAGATAAATATAAAATCTAATATGTTTATTTACATACTAAATTATTTATATGTTTATGAAATGGTTGATTTACATATACATAAATATAGTTTTGAAAACCTAAAATGGTTAATGGATTTTGAAAATATCATTATAGAAATATATATATATATATATAGACACACATCTAATTTATGAAATCTTATAAACTATATTATATGATTGACTTTGAATTGAATAGCTAATTATATATGAGAATGCATTATTATATGATTTTGCATGATTAGTGAGAAAGTGAGAGAGAGTTCACCCTAAAGGGAGTAAAAAAAATTTCATATGGTATTATTGATACTATGAGTGGTCCCAGTGTTTAATTATTATTGGCAATTCTATTATCACTTGTAATGGTGTGAGCTGAAGCATTACAACCCTTAAGTATTTGAAAAGGGGAATTCATATTCTTAAAGTAGTAATGGTGCCTTTGGCCGAGTTGCCTTCCATATTAGGTAAGTTAGAGCCAATTTGGTCATATAAACTTGGTCTAATATATTATTTAGCTTATGAATTCAGTTGGAGGTAATTGAGGAGATTCAATTGGATATTGATCATGTATGTGCACTTGATTGATATATTTCTTTACTACAAACATGTGTTATGCTATCCTATTTTGCATGCTTGTTTACAGTTTGATTTGTTACTAGATAGTTTTGATTATTTAGTTACTGGGATATTGTTTCACCTTATGGTTACTATTTTACAAGTGATAGTGCTGATAAAAGTAAAGTAGAAGAGTCTGTCCAAGAGTAGTTTCACATTGCCTTTTGTAATGCCTTGATTATGTGTAAATGATATATATATATATATATATATGTATGTATGTATGTATATTTATGTATTACCTACTAGGATTTGTATGTAGTTTTAAATGTACTTGCATGATGTGTTTGATGAGGTTGCATTTTAGTCTAGATTGTAAGAGTTATTATTATGTTGTGGGTAGAAATTCTAGTCCAAGTACATGTTGATAGATAGTTGATTTAGTTATGTTGTGAAATGGCCACTTTGTGTAGTGTGTAATTCCTCAAGCATTTAACTCCAATTTGAGTGATTGGGGTTTTGAATGGCCAAAAATATTATTTGAATTGTATTGTTGTATGTGAAACTAATCAATTAGGTGTGTTGGTCCATTTATGCTGGTTCAAGCCTTGCCTAAGGCTAATAATATATGGTTGGGTTTTGGGACACTAGATTACACTTTACTTTTAAAAAAAATGATCATTTTTCATTCAAGAGTCTAGTTTTTAAATGAAGTGATATTTTGTGATGAAACCCATACCATTAGTTAGATAATTAGATAAGCTTTAGATGGGAGATTGAATCATTCTAATCGAACTATGGATAAAGCATTGGTATACTTTAGAAGTTTGCCTTTGGATGTTGTCATGGCAATATATGTGCAATCATATAATGCCATGTTTACCATGGCAAAAAGTGTTGTGTGTTATGGTAAATAGGACTATGGCACTTGCACATTCGCAACAGCATATGCCTTCTATGTTATTTGCCGCAACGAATGACATATTGGCTATAGTGAATGTGCTAGGAAAAATAAATTACTGTTTGACTTGATTGAATTTTTAATTTAGTTCTACTGCTTCCTTGTGTTTCAATCTTTTGATTTTAAAGTGTTAAACTCAATAACTTTCAAAAATATTTTAAAATGG